ATATTGGGGGATCTGGTTGTTAAGGGTCAGACTTGGGAAAGTCCTTATATCTGTAGGATATATCTGTAGACTGTACAAGTCTTTTTCATGGGTGAAGAAGCGATTGGCCGAGATAGCTTTTCCTGGCTAAACCCTATTCAGTCATCCCTGTAGAAGGCTGACTTCTGGAGGGCTCTCTTTGCTCTCTCCATAGGCACAAACATGCCCAGTGGCAGCTGGAACATGCACGTCGTCGTCATCATCTAGTGTCAGTAGGCACCTTTAGGATAACTAGGTGATTACTTTTGATCATGTACTCTAGAGCCCCTATGCCTTTTTTACATGTCTTCCCTTTGTTATCATTCTTCTTTCTTTTCATTTTGGTATCAATTTACTTTTTTATTACTTCACCTAATTTACATTGTTTTTTGTACATTGGCATTTTCTTTGTTGCGGTGGCATGAAAAATAAAAGGTTTAAACATATAACTTGCCATAAGGATAGAGAATTAGAAATAATTTCTTGGTATGAAGTGTTATCAGCGTTTGTTAGAGATCCAAATTGGCAAGATAAGATTTTCCACAGAGTCTCAACATTAAGAGATATTGTGCTGATGTATTGAGAGCTGGGAATTAAACAACTTGCTGGATTACAGCCTGTGTCAATAAACTGGTCAACTTCATCAACATTATTACTTCTTTCCACTTGTCACGTTACATATAAGACAAAGATTGAGGTGCATTCTTTGGAGAAGCAATCTGGTCTAAACATAAACTCTTCATACTTGGAATGACATAGCTGTTTAGGTTTCTAAATACAACCTATTAAGAGATGTGTCTCCATTTCTGAAATTGGGCTGGCTGCTATTTTTAAAATGTGATTTCCCAAACCAGGATCCCAGAATGTCTTGCAGTCCATGTTTTTCCTTCTTTAAAGGCCAACTCCAGGATATTTGCACTCCCACACTCATCAACACCCTCCTATAATACCTACCCAAATTCCCATTTTACTTACCTGAGACCACAGCTATGTGACAAGCCTTCTCTCTTCTTCTGTTTAGTTCCTGGGGCTTCCTCTTTGGGTGTCCACATCACTGCAGCATAATGTGTACACCTACTATTGGTGGAGGCGTAACTCCAAGCGGCCTGAGTTCACTCTCATAGGCTCCAGAGGCAGGAGATCCCATGTGGATGGTGAGGGGGACTAGTACCCAAGAAGATAACAAGAAAGATGTCTGGTCTCCAGGACATTAGTTTGGGTCATAGAGGAAACTGTAACATTGATCCATTATACGGCAGGATGGCTTAGGGAGAGGTGTTTGGAATCAAGACTGAGGAGTAAGGTAACTGACAAACAAGTGCACAATTTAAATTTTATTTTTTACTGTAGTTGAGCTTTAGGATCACTGGGTGCCCATGGAAGGTTTACTGTGTATGTGAATACCTTCAATGCTTGACAGTCATGGCATGCTAAGCAAGAGAAGTGGTTACATATTTTCACTTTCTCCACATGGGTTATGACTGTTACAACTATGGTGATTCTATCAATACCAAGGATGCAGTTTAATAAGGCTGAGCTCATGCTTCAAGTAAGAGTGGGTAGGGTTCTCTCTTTAGCAAAACAATACTTCTTTGTACATCCCTATGCCAGAGCATAGGGATGGCCCCACAACCTTCCAATAAAGTCTATTGTGCCCATCCAACACTTCCAGCTACTGCATCCCTGCAAACTGGAAGTCAGCCACTACCCCTTCAATTCAACAATGGTTCCATCGAATTGAAGATATTTAATGTATTGTTGGAGCTGACAAGTACAGTACAAGGCAGGGAAAAACAATGCTGTAACATGGTTTTTACTGGAATGAATACTCATTCTCTGAAGAGTTTAGGTGACTCCTCACAGGTTGATTTTGACTCCTCTGGCCTTTCTTTCCTTTACCTACTCTCCCCCACTCTGACTTGGTATGTTGTGCCGTCCTTTTATCTGGTGTTCTGTACTTCTTCCTTCTTTGTTTCTTTTTTCTCTATGTTTTCTATTTGTATCTAAGGCTCCGTGCACGCTAGAGTTTTTTTGAGCTTTATTATTAGCATTTTTTTTCTGCTCCTTGAAGCTAGTGTTATCCTATGTGTCCATACACACTACTTTAGTCATCTAGGAGCAGAAAAAAAAACTGTTTTGTAGAGTTTTTTGGAGTGTTTTTCCAGCAGAAAAAAAAGGCTAAATGCTCCTAAGCGCTACTAAAACGCTCCTAACAGCTTTTTTCTAGCTTTTTTTTTCCCTCTACATGTACTGTAAAAACACTAATAAAATGCTGACGCTCCTAAACACTTCTGAATACTACTAAAAATACTATTACCAGCATTTTTTTTTAGTGTATAATGCTAAACACTAGTGTGCATGGAGTCTAAATCTTGAATATTGTTTTTGAAGAGAGGCTTTAAGGTGCTGGGGAGGCCACACTGCTATGATCGGGGGAGCTTTGTTTCATGTATAGATAATATATTACTAATAAAGTGCCTAATGCAAGAAAAAGTGCCGTAGTGTCCCATTTGCCTACCTACTCATAGGTAAGTTGAATCCCTATGACTACGAGCCATAGCTCGAAACGCGTCAGGGTATAGCTACAGCTAATTGACGCTACACCGCCGGCACCACGAGGAGTCCCGGCGGCCATCCTGATTTGGTCAGTATTACTCTTTTATACCCATCTGCCTGAACTTTGGAATAAATATCCTTGACATACTACACTATTGGCTTCCTCTGTTTTTTGAGCCCCTGTGGGAGCTCATCATGATTGCAGAGCGTATGCTATTGGAGTATGGATTATGAAGCAGTGGAGGCTACATGACCGGATCTGACCAGACCTATGTGAGGGCGTCCGATGCGTTTTTATGATATACAAATGCGCATAAAGATTGCGTATCTGGTGAGTGCGCAGTCTTTACCTTATTTTCTCACCTTTTTCACGTTTCCGGTTATTGGACGCCTGAGGATCATCAGCGATCTTGTTCACATTTTTTGGACTCATTTGGATTGGTTATAGATCTTTCACGATATTAGCCACATAATATAGTGGCATATATGCTTGCACAATGTCACCTTACTTATCTATTTATATACAAGGCTCATTAATTTGTGGACGTCTATGCGTTCCGTCTGTGATTTCAACCACACTGTCACCTTTTGGTATGCTCAAAATTTTTTTTTTTTTGTTTTGCAATATTAGTCACAGATTCTAGTTGCATATGAATTTGCACAATGTCACCTTATTGATGATTAATTATCTATATATGAATTTAGCATATATACATTATATTTGTGATTTTTACCAGCGCTGCACCCTTTTAGTATATTACTGTTTACCTGAAGGTCTTATATGGTGCCTTTGGTGTATGGTCGCTATTCCCTGTGTTGATTGAGCGCTCACTTATTTTCAACTTCCTGCTTGAACCTTCACAAACTACTCACTAGATATATAGACCCACTGCCTGTTAGGATCAAAACACACTTAAGATCACAGGAGGGTTCCTCCACCTTGCTTATTCAACAGCATTGCTTCAATCTTCTTACTCTACAGGGTTTGCACCGCTTCTCTCCCCTTAGGGGTTTGCATCCTGATGAGGCCGTTACGGTGAAAAGTGTGTTGGAGCGGAGCTATACATGGCATCATCCTGCAGGCAGTGTTGGGCTTGCACCAGGCTGAGTGGTGGAGACAAACTTTGAATGAGTGATTGATCTTAGTGCTGGGAGACAGCATGAGGCATTGTGAGTTTTATTGCCTTTATATATGCTTTTAATTAATAAACAGTGTTACACTATGAAAGTTTTACTGGATTTTATCCCTATGCCAGGCATCTATGTGAGAATAAAAGGAGAGTTATGTGATTAGCGGACTGGTCTGGATGATGAGTAAAGAACTATATTGGAACCCCTTAGATGAGATATGTGGTGCAGACCTGGAGAGGAAGACGACTGACACGAGGCTGTTCAATATGAGAGGTGGAGGGGTGGTGGAACCTTCCCGTGATCCTAAGTGTGTTTTGACCCTAAACAGCAGTGGGTCTATATATCTGGTGAGTGGTTTGTGAAGGTGGAGGTTGCACATGGTGATTGAAGGCTTAGGCTCCATGCAAAAAATGCTGGGAAAAATGATGGATGAAAAAACGCTGGTAATAGCGGTTTTTAGTAGCATTTTAGTAGTGTTCAGGAGCGTTAGTGGTTTATTAGCATTTTTACAGTACATGTACAGGAAAAAAAACAAAAGTTAGAAGAGCTGTTAGGAGTTTTTTAGGAGCGTTTAGGAGCATTTAGCATTTTTTTCTGCTGGAAAAACTCTCCAAAAACAATTTTTTTCTACTCCTAGATGACGAAGCTCAAAAAATACTAATAACCTAAAGCAGTGTGCATGGACACATAGGAGAACACTATTTAGCTTCTAGGAGCAGAAAAAAAATTGCTGATAATAGCTTCTGGAGCTTAAAAAAACGCTAATGTGCATGAAGCCTTAAAGTGGAAAGTGCAACAGTGGTTGTAAAGCACATGGGACATTAACCTCCGTAGCGGTCTGATTACGTCCATATTTCTGTGCTCAAAGCGGTACATTTTTTTGCATGGAAATATGTATTTTTTTTATTGTAGGCCTGTAATTTTTAGGAATAACTCACTGAAATCTGTCCGAACAAGAGTCTAGTAAACATCCCGAGTATGATAAATTTGAAACACGAAATCATAAATTATAATTTAATAAATAATCATAAAAAATAATATAATAATAATAAATTGAATTCAATAATATAATCAAACCAAAAACACTGAAATTTGAAATAGAGCTCCAAGTTCGCACATCACTGAGCAAAGTCGCAAAATCGTTTTCAGTGTCTGATGATGAATTTCTCCACGAATCATTATCACTCAATTCTGCAAGTGGTTCTGATTTACTATCGCTGATCTCTAGCTGGTCTAAAACCGCTTTTGACCTAAAGGGACACTTTTTGGACACCATGGACATTTCTGTTTCCAGGCAGAAAGAACAGTAAAAATGCAGGCAGGGCACAGGACAAAGCACTCGGGACAAAATGTATGTGAAATGGTTTGATACAGTAATGTTTTACTATGTGATTTTAGTGTATTGAGTGAATGTCACTTTTTGTCGTTTTCAAATTTCCCGCCGTTCCGTCCCCTGTACGTCCCGACGCTTGGAACCCAGCAGACAGATGCCGGCATCCGCCGGATTACATTGCCGGGGACACTGCAGGAGGGACATCGTGGGAGCGCAGGACAAGGTAAGTGAAGAACAGATGCTGGAGCAGCGCCGCATGGTAAGCCCGAGTGTAGCTCGGGGTTACCATTTTTGGTACTGAAACTTTATCCCCGAGCTACACTCGGAAATACCGCCAGGGAGGCTACGGCACTTTTTCTTGCATACGGCACATTATTTGGGACTTTTACACATTTTTTGGACTTTTTATACTAGTTTGTTTTATATATAATAATGTGGTTTTATGTATAAACTATGGGTATTTTTGTATATAGCGTTGAGCACATAATTAGTATATATAATGGTTTCTTTATATATTTTTTTTTTCTTACTTTGCAGGGACTTTTTGTAGCTTGGCTGAACGCTGTATTTATATAAGTTATATCTTAGATCACATTTTGATCTAGTACAGCAGCTGTATAAAACGTAAGGACAAAGCAAAGGTTTATGAGAGTCTACTAACATTACAAAGTTGCTTGGAAAAGGGATAGAAGCCAAGGATATTCCATTAAAATGTACAGTGCATGTGCCATGCTTGATCCATTGATTTAAAGCATACCTGGGCAGCACAGTGCCCAAATGGTTAGCACTTTCGCCTAGCAGTACTAAGGTCATTGGTTCGAATCCCAGCCACGGCACCTCCTGCTTGGAGTTTGCATGTTCTCCCTGTGCCTGTGTGGGTTTCCTCTGTGTGCTCCGGTTTCCTTCCACACTCCAAAGACATGCTGGTAGATCAATTGGATCCTGTCTAAATTGGCCCTAAGTATATGAATGTGAGTTAGCGACCTTAGATTGTACGCCCCTTGAGGGTTAGGGACCGATGTGAATGTACAATATATATGTAAAAGCGCTGCGTAAATTGATGGCGCTATACAAGTACCTGAAATAAATAAAATAAAAAATACCTAAAGACAAAGCAATATACTATAGCTTACAAGTCCTTAGATGGGCTCTGCTATCAGGAAGTGACAAGGACACTGCATTTCTAGCAAGATCAGGTATTTTCTGTGCTTGCCGAAAATGTTCTTAGCATGAAAACTAATGTAGCTACCGCATCTGAGGACTGGTAAGTTACACTTATATAACATTTTTGTTCTTGGGTTTAGCTTTCCTTTAATTGGCACAAAAAAATGTCACTGTCAATAAATGTATGCACATCTGCACATACTGTATATGGTACTGTTCTCACGTGATTACAGATCCCACAGATTTATCAAAGCAATCACTACATCACACAACACCTTTTCCTGCAGACACCTGTAGAAACTCACAGTTATCACCAGCCTGTGTTATTTTAGTGAGCGATAACCTGCCTGGTAATCTTTGTGAATTGACATTTACATTGATTTTATCAAAACAGCTGCTAAAATAACTAGAGGATTGTAGTAGCAAAAGCAATGGTAAAAGTCCACTACCTACAGAGCAGGATATTAAAGGATGTTATGCAACTGTGGATTGAGCCTTTACACATGGTAACAAGAAAATAACAGGAGAAAAACAGCTTAGTCAATTAAAGCAGAACATTAGCAAAAAAAATTGTAATTTGGAAAGGTTTTTTATTAATATAGCAGATAAGGGCTTTCCTACGTTTCTCCTCAAAAGTTCTTTTGTGTACTATCCTGGCATCTGCTGGGTGCCAGGATGAATTAAGTCCAGTGGGCATGCATGAAAGTTACAACATTCTGGCCCAGCCAATACTGATTCACACAGGAATTGCACAGGAACGCATTCCTATACGATTCCGGAGTGAACCGACACTAAGCCTAGAAAACTGAAATGGCATACCATATTTCCCTACAGCGGTAGTAAAATCTTTTTTTATACTTTTATAAATCTTACCTATAGTTAAAATGAATATCTCCTAAACATGCACCATTCAGGAGATATTCGCTCTTTTTGAGAGCCAGCGCATGCACTCTGTGAAGAAACAGCATGCCCATGCTGTTCCTTCAGAGTACTGTGTCATGGTCCGGGACTCCCGCACACATGCGCGGGAGTGACGTCATCGCGGCTCGGCCAGTCAGATGGCCAGAGCTCATGAACCCGGAAGGAAGACTGGGTGAAGATGGAAGCTTCTGCAGAAGTGACAGCATGCCGATGGAGGGCTTCTTTCTAAGCCAAGTCTTTCATAATGTGCTAGTATGTGATGCATACTAGCACATTATGTCATTACCTTGTGCAAGATTTTTTTTTAGTTGTGGTTTACTACTACTTTAAAGTGGCTCTAAAGGAAGAAGATTTTTTGTAAAAAACCTTCTGCATGCAGGTCCCCCGCCCCCTTATACTTACCTGAGCCTGATCCAGCGATGTGCATGAGAGCAGAGGCTTTCTCCACTCTCTCCCTCCTCATTCAATCACAGTCAGTGGGGGGGTGGGGCTGAGCTTCTCAGCAAGCATGCATGGCTTGCTATGGGGGCACTCAGCAGAGAGGAGGAGCCAGGGTCACCAGCGGGGGACCTGAGAAGAGGAGAATGGGGCTGCTTTGTGCAAAAACCATTGCACAGAAACCGGTAAGTAATTGCTATTTGGAATAACATGTTTGTGTTATTTAAAAAAACAGTTATAGCCTATATTATTATTATAATGTAATACTAAACTCTGGGCACATCAATGCAATGTGCATTGGCATCCTTCCCACAGCTCTGCTCTTTGGAATAGGCTATCCAAGGGGTGCATGATAGGCTCATGTTTCTGATTTCTACTGAAACATGAAGGCTAAAATGATATCGACATGTTCTGTATGACAACAAAAAAACTTTGTTAATATTGTAAATCATGTTTGTATGCAAAAAGTGAATTTTTTTTATATCCTTCAGCTGTTAATGGAAGTATAGAGGGGCTTTTTAACGAAAATAGTTTTTGGTCCTTGGATTTCAGCTTTAAATGTCCTTCAGGGGCTTTCAAATATATGCAATGATGTGGGAAAATGGTAACAGGGGTTTAAAAAATTTGTTTTTATACAAATATATTTGTCCTTGCCCACCCTGTTGCATTTTTTGTGGCATGTTCTTTCTGCCTTTGGGTTTGTTTGTATCCAAAAAGTGGAAAAAATAGTGTTTGAAGCTTTAATGGTTAGAGGGGCTAAATGTCTTTGGAAATGCAGTCAAATCCTTCTAATAAGCTCAATCCTTCTATCTGCTTTTATTTCCATACACACAAATGCATTGGGAACACTACACATTCTATTCCAAATCAAAACATGAAGAAAAATATATCAAATTTGTGTTATTTCTCTAAAAAAATTGAAGAAAAGTGAATATTAGACTGTTCAAAAAAATAAATAACAGTGTTTGTATTCCTCTTTACAAACTCAAACGTTCACTATATAAACTGAAAAATGTTTGAAGATTTTGCTTTCCTTTGAATCACTTAATTAACCTCCCCAACGGTATTCCCGAGTGTAGCTCGGGGTAAAATGTCTGTACCAAAAGCGGTAACCCCGAGCTACACTCAGGCTTACCATGCGGCGCTGCATAGGGAGTCCCTGCAGCACTTACCTTGTCCTGCGCTCCCATGATGTGTCCCCTGCAGCATCCCCGGCCATCTCCTCCGGCTGATGCCGGCATCCGACTCCTGTGTTCCGGTCCCTGTGACGTCGGCGGGAAATTTGAAAATTTAAAAAAAATGTCATTTTTTTCAAAACGATTTTACATAGTAAAACATTGCTGTTTCAACCCATTTCACATACATTTTGTCCCTAGTGCTTTGTCCTGTCCCCTGTCTGCATTTTGAATGTTCTTTCTGCCTGGAAACTTAGAAAAGTCCATGGCGTCAAAAAAAGTGTCAAAATCGGTTTTTAGACCAGCTAGAGAACAGCGATAGTAAATCAGAACCACTTGCAGAATTGAGTGATAATGATTCGTGGAGAAATTCGTCATCAGACACTGAAAACAATTTTGCGACTTTGCTCAGCGATGTGCGAACTTGGCGCTATATTTCAAATTTCAGTGTTTTTGGTTTGATTATATTATTGAATTAAATGTAATATTATTATATTATTATTTTTTATGATTATTTATTAAATTATAATTTATGATTTTGTGTTTCAAATTTTATCCTACCCGGGATGTTTAATAGACCCTTTTTTGGACAGATGTCAGTGAGTTATTCCTAAATATTACAGCCTACAATAAAAAAATACATATTTCCATGCAAAATAATGGTACCGCTTTCAGCACCAAAAATCTGAAATAATCATACCGCCAGGGAGGTTAATATTTAGTTGTATAAGCACTGTTTCTGAGAACTGCTGTACATCTGTGTTGCATGGAGTCAACCAACGTCTGGCACCTGTGAACAGGTATTCCAGCCCAGGATGATTGGACTACATTCCACAGTTCTTCTTTATTTCTTGGTTTTGCCTCAGAAACTGCATTTTTGATGTCACCCCACAAGTTTTCTATTGGATTGAGATCCGGGGATTGGGCTGGCCACTCCATAACGTCAATCTTGTTGGTCTGGAACCAAGATGTTGCACGTTTACTGGTGTGTTTGGGGTCGTTGTCTTGTTGGAACACTCATTTCAAGGGCATTTCCTCTTCAGCATAAGGCAGCATGACCTCTTCAAGTATTCTGATGTATTCAAACTGATCCATGATCCCTGGTATGCGATAAATAGGCCCAACACCGTAGTATGAGAAACATCCCCATATCATGATGCTTGCGCAATCATGCTTCACTGTCTTCACAGTGTACTGTGGCTTGAATTCAGTGTTTGGGGGTCGTCTGACAAACTGTCTCCGGCCACTAGACCCAAAAAGAACAATCTTACTTTAATCAGTCCACAAAATGTTGCGCCATTTCTCTTTAGGCCAGTCAATGTGCTCTTTGGCAAATTGTAACCTCTTCAGCACGTCTTTTTTTTCAACAGTGGGACTTTGTGGGGGCTTCTTGCAGATAGCTTGGCTTCACATAGGCGTCTTCTAATTGTAACAGTACTCACAGGTAACTTTGGACCTTCTTTGATCTTCCTGGAGCTGATTGTTGGCTGAGTCCTGCCATTTTGGCTATTCTATCCATTTGAATGGTAGTTTTTTCGCCGTCTTCCACGTTTTTCAGGTTTTGGTTGCCATTTTAAAGCATTTGCGATCATTTTAGCTGAGCAGCCTATCATTTTCTGCACTTCTTTATATGTTTTCCCCTCTCCAATCAACTTTATAATCAAGGTACGCTGTTCTTCTGAACAATGTCTGGGACGACCCATTTTCCTCAGAATTTCAGAGAGAAATGCACTGTAACCAGCAAGTACAACATTTGCTGCCTTCCTTCCTTAAATAAGGGCAATAATTGCCACCTGTTTTTCAAAGAATGAATGACCTCACTAATAAAACTCCACACTGCTATTATTTTGAACATGCCCCTTTCAATTAGTGATTCAATTACACAGAATCAGCAGCATGCATGTCATGACTGTTGTGTCTTGGATTTCTATTACTCTACTACACCTGCTAGTAAATTATTTGCCATGTAGAAATATCATTTCTACCAAAAACAGTGATTGATCAGGTTAGTGATGTCTGACTGCTATTATTTTGAACACAACTGTATATATTTTGCGTATAATAGTATAGTAAATAGTATAATAAATTGGATTTTTGTACTCACTGTAAAATCCTTTTCTTGGAGTTCATTGAGGGACACAAGATTCAGAGATTGTTGTTTTATATTGCCACCTACAAAAAGATTTGGGCATTGGCAATGAAAAAACAATGACCAGCCCGGTATAACCCCTCTTACTCCCTGCATACCTTTTCTTTTGTAACAAAGTAGTACAGAGAAAAAAAGACCATAATTCTCTCACACTCTAAAGAAGACAATGCCACACAAAGGAAGTGCACAAAGTTAAGGAATAACTGTTGTACTGATAATATAGGAACATGGTAGTACATGTCCTGAGGGAGGCTATAGTAGACCTTTAGGATTTTTAGGACCAAATGAAGACATTCAGGGGTTTATTTACTAAAACAGGAGAGTGCAAACTTTTCTGTAGCTATGAATGCTAGCCAATCAGCTTCTAACTTCAGCTTGTTCAATTAGGCTTCGCAAAAAAAAAAAACCCGGAAGCTGATTGGTTTCTATGCAGAACTGTACCAGATTTTTTACTTTCCAGTTTTAGTAAATCAACCCCCCAGTGCCTTGACATCCAAGATAGGAATGGATGCCCCCCTTTAGTTTGGGAATTGTGAAAAGGTTGGAAATAAAATTGTTGAAACCTTTCTGCCGTAGAAACCGGGACAGTAATCCCCTGATCGAAAAAGATCTGCAAGGACTGCATGGAGGTCTGCTAATCTGTGTAGTGACACAGGAGGATTGGAAGACATGACACGTGAAAGCACAACTCTAGTTTGTAGACTATGGAAACTGCCTCCTGCACCCAGGCATCTGCAATCAGTACTGGTGTTGGCAAAGACTAACTGTACTCCCTTCACTATAGAAAGTGGGGTGTCCCTTCATGCTGAAGAAGACTTATCTGCAGGTTTGAGGGATCTTCTTATATGATAACAAGATGGAAGATATCCACCAACTCATGTATGCTGTAGTTCAGGGCTGCTGACATGAGCTTTATGCGCTTTACAAACAGGGGAATATTACAATGGGAAGCTGGAATACTTTCTCTTGAGTCTGGTCCATTACGCTAATGTTTGACAAACTAGCAACACAGTCATGGCAGGTTTCAATGCTGGGCCTGCCAGAGAAAACAAGATTATGGAAATATTCTCCATGTGCTAATCTATAGGATCCTTAAACACATGGTCCCACACAGTCCCTCCTAGCCTGGAAGATACAGCAGCTGTTTGCGGCTCCTTAGAGTCATCATCTGACAAGGGTTTTTGGGACTGTTCATCAGATACAGCTTCCGCATTAGAAGGCTCCAAGGCTGCAGACAGTTCACACTCCGAAGGAATGTAGGAACTCAAGCAGGGGACGGCATTCTAGGTTGCTGGAGTCAGGCTCTTGAGAGGGCATACTGCAGGCCACTCCAGAACTATTAGTGGATCATGACCTGGAGGGACCCGGTACACCTGGACTGCTTCTTGTGTGCTTAGGATCAGACATGTGGCACTGCAAGCAGGAACAACTTTGCTCAAAATAAAAAGTAAAACCTAGGGTATTCAAAAACTGTCAGCAAGAGCAGGAAAGATTCAAACGGCTGGAGGCGACCAGATCACTCTAGGTGAAACCGTTTGTCTCTTTGCAGCAGTGGCAGGAAGGTGCCAACTCACTTTGAATGGCAGACACAAGAGTGTGTGTGCACGGCACTCCATCTAATGGTTCAGCCTTCAGTCCCTCAGTGCTTTAAAATTTCAGTAGAAAACAAAATGTAGGGATAATAGCACTTAATGATTCTAATAGACCCAGTTGCAGATTAAATTGGATGGACTGGTGTCTCTATTTAACCTTACCAACTATGTAACACTTGTTGCTCACAAAGTGCATATTTGGTGAAAAGGTCACACCAGAGGCTGTGCCACAGTTCTAGACCTGGAAATCCCTCCATGGTTTACTAACACAACACACAAAGCCTGAACTTAACAGTCCAAGCAGACCCCTCAATCACACAGTCCACGAGGTCTGGGTAGGGCCTCCAAAGCTATTGCTGAAGATACACTAATCCAGAAAGCTGCAGAAAGAGACCAACTCAAGCAGCATGTAGAAAAGACATGATTGAACAAAAAAATTATCTTGAAAAAAGAAAAAATGGCTAGAAAAAAATAGTAAAAATTTTCTCAACAGAGAAAAGCAGTCCATCCACCTAGAACAGTAGCAAACAAATGAGGCCTACTGTGGGTGGGAAGCATTCTATCAAAATGTTTTTTAATTTGCCCACAGTATAATGTAATTGTCTCTGAATCCTGTATCCTCAATGAACAACAAAATCTGTTTACTACTGCTTAAATACCTATTTACTGAGTAAATAAGAACAACACCATAAAATATTAGCCAACACTGAAATAATGAAGAAAAGCAATAACAGATCATTGTAACACAAAGTATTTAATAAATACAATATTCATGTTGCTGTGCATTGCACTGCACAGCTTCATTCAGCAAACAGAAGTATTTAAGAATGTAACTTAACATGAAAATCCTGAAAGCAAAATAAACATGTTACAAGGTACTAAAACTAAGGAAAGTGTTTCTTTTTCCTTTTTTATACTCTATTATTTACAAAAAAGGTTTTCACATAAAGGTTCTCTTGACTCCTGGCACCTGTGCAATATGTCCAAGTGGTTGTATGGAGATACATTTCTTCCGCAGGGGGCACTGTAGATTACATCTGAAACCACAGCTACTCATTTAAAGCTGAACTTTGGTCAGAAGCAAAGACACAAATAATGCAGCTCTGTATCCTTTAACACACCATTAAAATTATATTTTTATGCAAGGAGTGTATGTATCTGAATTTAACCCGCCTCTTGCAGTCTACTGTAAAGCAAAGCTCAGACTGGGGGAGAAGCATCACAAAAAGGCAATCGGTTGTGCTATAGTACAAGTGGTATGAGGATAGAAGGAGTGAGCAGAGTGACAGAGAGAATATCTGTATGGGCTGCTGCTTTTACTATTCACTGGCAGCACGCACACGCAGCCTAGCAGTGTGATGGAGATCTGTAAGAGGAACAATTCAGGCCACTTGCCCTGTTAGGCTATGCTGTCTAGCAGAGCTGTGCAAATATCACAGCCGTATGGAC